GTGTTAACGAAAAGGCGGTGATTTGTGGAAAACTGAGAACCTCGTTTAATGTGAAGATCCACGAAACGCCGATGATCAGACGATGCTAATATCAAATCGATTTCTCTACACAAGCTTCCCTGTACCAGGTATGCTGATGCACGCTTCGATGCTCGAAGGTGTTCGTGATAAACTCTCCGTTGTTTGCTCAAATCCGCTACTCCTTCATGCCGTTATTGATGAGGTCGCTAGAGCCGTTCTTTTCAATCACGCCTTTCCACTTTTCTCAGCACCGTTTAAGGCGAAGATTCACGAAACGCCGATGATCAGATGATACGATTATCAAATCGATTTCTGTACACAAGCTTCCCTGTACCAGATATACTGATGCACGCTTCGATACTCGGTGTTCGTAATAGACAGTCCGTTGTTTGCAAAAATCCGTAGCAGCTTCATGCTGTTGTTGGAGGTTGCTAGAGCCATTCTTTCCACTTTTGAGTGCATGCTCTGAGATACGCATCAAAATTGCCCATGAGAATGAGGGACTCCGTAGTCGATGCTCCGTACAGAGCACATTTCTCTCCTTAAGGAAGTACTCATATTCTCTGTCTTGGCGCATGGACCTGTAACCCGGTCGTGACGTTCGGCTATTGTAACTGTCTTTAGATTGCCACTTTTGCGCTGATGGTCTTCATTTCATTGATTCAGACAGCGAGGTTTGGTTCTACCAGAAGACAGACACCGGCGTGAGTGTTCGTCTTTGAGTTGACACCTTAGTAGAATAGCTTCCATCCGCTGAGGTTCAGAATTTCAGAGTCCTAGGGCTTCGTTGACGAAGATTTAACTATATCCAGTCGGTACCTTGTGGTCTCATTGACTAGTTCATATTCTTTTCCTCTGAGTGAGGAGAAATTCCAATTTCCGACTGTGTTCCCATTTTCGGTTTCGATGCTGTGGAATCTTGTCTGCACAGTGGCAGTGTTGTCCGTCTCCGCCGTTTTGGTCGGGTTCTGACTCGCTAGCTGCTTCATTCTTCTTTTAGATCTTCGGCAGCCGTTGCCGCGCTGCTAAGCCAGCAGCGTTGATTGGTCAGGTTTTGATCGCCAATTTCGCGATCTGCCTCAATTCTCCAACAGTCTCTGCGGCCCTTGGTTACACCTGAAGCGACCGAGCCGTTATAATATTCGATAACTGCAATATCACAGAGGGCGTGTGCCTATTTTGGGGAGACCTTGCCACCCACCTTAAACACCATTTCTAATCCTGATTTCGAAAAATCAACGACAGAGTTATGACGGTAATCTGTTTTAATAATTATGTTTCTGTTTCTAGTGAATTATCTGCTTGAATATGGCATTTATAATTTTTCAGTAGTTTAAGTCGCACGCCTTACCACAGATACGCTCTCTCCCTCTTCGTATCATGTTGTCGCTAACCTCGCTGTTCTACTCATTCCGCAACCAGTAGCATTAGAGCAGTTTTTATTGAACTTTTTTAAGATGAACAATATGAGATATTTGCTCTTAGTAACAACACTACACAAACTTGACATTTAGTGCTAACAACTTGACAGCTGCAATACCATTTACCGTTTGAATACAATATTGCGATTACGATGCCAACTATTTGAAATTTGATGCTGCATTTTAGACATTGAACAGCTGTACACTTGGGGGAAAAACCGTTTCGGTCTGCTGGGTCTTGGCCATGACGATGATCAGTTTTTTCCTTTTAAGGTGAAGTTGATGAATCTAGCATATCGTTTAATTACTTTATTATTTAGGTGACAATAAATTCGAACGTTAAAGAAGTAGCGCTAGGACCTGATCATACGGTGGCAATATGTCGAACGTCTGTGTGATGATCACACACGCTACAACACTTCTGTATGGCAGTCACAAAAAGAACAAATTTTTTTTAGTTGAAGTTTTAAATCGCAAAAAAGCAAAATTCGACGATAACGTTTTTCTCCAGCATAACCGGTAATTAACGGATATAATCAGTGATTCAAAATAATATGGCGCGGGTTGCCGATATTCATTCCGCTTTGCGTCGCGCCTTTGTTGCTTCCATACTGCAGGCCGATCACGTTCTGTCCTGCTTTTAGCTGCTCTTCAGTCCATTCTTTCTTTTCCCCTTGAGCTTCTTTTGGCCCCAGTGTCGGCTTATTGAATTTATCAGCCTATATCAACAAAATTAGTCACCATACACTTATGGGCGAAAGTATTTAACAGTCGGTTATAATGTAGGGAATACCGAGATAAAACGGGCTGAAGGCAGAAAAATTTCAGTCATTCCTTACGAACTTTGCATTCGAACGACAAAATCAAATATTAAGTACATTCAGGTGTCGCAAGGTTAAACATAACAGGTTCCTCGCCACAAATTCGACTGCGTTGTCGTCGTTGTGGAGAGAGGACAACCAAAATAAAACTAATGATCACATGCCAAGACAAAGTATGCTCTTTGTTTCTTAGCTATGAACCTTGAAATGAATCAATTATGTACCGCAGGAGTTCACAGTCCTAGAAGAAGGTGCAGTGCAAAACTGAACAATGGCGCATACTGTCTATTCACTCTGGAGATTGTGAAAATCAACATTTTGCTAGCAAACCTAACTATTTACGTGTAATATGATCGAAACACCAGATACTTATTGGAGCCTGTCAAATGCAAGTGACGCTACCGGTATGCAATCAATATTAAAAGTGTGCACTTAAAATAGTCAACAAAATACAGAGAGGAAATCTGTTTGATCCTAAACTGATTCACGCTGGTTAGAGCTACATTTTATCTACACCATAAAGGTTAGCAGTACTTTACCACGTTAACGGATGGACAGTGATGGCGACGAAAGGCAGGAAAATTGTGCCCTATTAGTTTTCTTTCATGACCCTGAATTACCAACACTGGCATCATGTTTCGCACCGCTCATGTCACCCCAATAATCATACAAAGACTGCACTCAAAACGTGATGCTCTTTAAGAGATGACTACATCAGTATAGCGAAAACCATGTTACTTCATGCCACACTTGAAAACCATAGCGACTACTGCACCTTGCACTAGTCAACTATCGCTATCGCCAACGTATTTTTACCTTTAGTGTACTATCAAACGAAGATAAACATCTTCATGAAGGCAGGGGCAGGGTTCATAAATAAAAGAAACAACATTTAAACGTAAGATTTATCATAAATTTGATTTCGCTACTTTAAACTGAATTCTTTCAGCCCAGCAATAACTGCTGCCTTCTAAAGTGGTCGTGTGTGGATGGGAGGGGGATAAGCGACCTTTTGATCTGCGTGTTCGTTAGCTAAAATCCAAATTTTGAAGGCAGTTGAAATCGAATCAATGTAAACTACGAATATCTTGTTTCAGCATGTACATGCCACGTGAAAAGGAAATGCTACCGTAGCCAACTGTCCTGACTACTCGGAACTACTCAAACCTTTCGAGCAACAGACGACAGACAAATGACCACGGAGTTCGGGTCCTGTGCTTCGTACAGGTCAACGGTCATAAACAGCTCGTTCTTGGGCACACCGACCTTCGCTTCGGCAAACGTGAGAAAGTTATTGATGTTTTCCATCTGCTTGAATGCCATCGTTGTCTGGTTGATCTTCCGAATTGCACTCGGTTCAAGAGCATTGGCAAGCCTAGAAGCACGTGCGCATTAACACAGTAACTGATATACAATCATCT